CACTTCATCTTGCAGTCCTGCTGCCTTTCCAGTAATAAAGCAGGTATAATAAGTGGGGGATATTATGTCTTCTCCTTATCTGTTGTCTGTTTTGTCTGTGAAGATCATGTGCTCTTGGTGGCAAAGGGCTATTTCCAAGAATTTGCCTATACCCTTCTGAACACTGCATGGTTCTGTTCCGAGAAGGGGCCCATCTGGCTAATCTCGATGCAAATAGTAACAATATAATTGAATGTAGATGTACGCAGCCCCACAGGCTCTTGGAGTCCTCTTTAATCAAAGCCTTTGGTAGAATACATACTTTATCTCACAGGATACGTAGATGGATTTTCAGAGCTGCTGAGCAACTGCAGCTTCCATTCAAATCAGCAGAAATTGTGGACGCTCACTATCTTTGACAATCAGTCCACAAACTATAAAATGACTTTCCGCTAGACTTAAGGGGGCATGGTTAGGTTACACGTGTATATTAACCTTTAGTACCAATACTACCTTTGATCATTAAGCCTGAACACCTGAAAAAAAACCCCTAAATTAAAAGTGACTATTCAATGTTGATTGTTTAACTTCTGCATTTTACTTATCCTGGGCGATGGAAATTACCTGGCCCATTTCTCTTTTTACACAACCTTTTCATGTGTTCATCGCCAGCTGTAAGTCAAGTTCACATGCTCCAACACAGTGGAGCACTATCAGAGTGACAAACATGGAAAGGAAATGATTACAATAAACGAAAGAAGCTCTCAAGGGCACAGACTATCTATCTTGTTTGTTCTGTGTCTGTACTTCCCTTAACACAAACGCACACAGTTAAAGCCTTAGCATTAACGGTAGATTTTGTAGCGTATTATATTTAGGAAAGGAAAGAACCTTAATATACTTGCTGGTGACCGTTTAAAAAGCTATTTTATAGCCCTAAATAAGGGTGAATGCTGAGGAGGCAGGGGCCCTACCTACTTTTATTCTACAAGACAAGCTCAATGTGTTATGTCAGTGAAATGTCATCGCCTTATTAATTATGAAATGTCATAAACAATAATGACCAAAGATCATCGTTGTGATGATAATTATGTAATTCTGATGCAATACTGTGACCAAAGGCATTCCAGTGGTCTGAACTATATTTTTGGATACCATTGTGAGGCATTAGTAAGGAGACATAAGCTTTAAAAGTCAGGAAAATTTTTGCAAAAAATGTGGTGGCAGCCCTGATTTTTACAGTTCTAATTCAAAGACACTTTGAAGTCATATTAGAAATATTAATGCCCTATTTTTTTAAGATAACACTTGCCTTTAAAATGAGCCTACCAATACTGTACTTGATTATCTCATCTTCTTTGCTTTAAATGTAACTACACTTCTTGGAACACAATACCCTCCATTTTATGTTTTTCTAGGCCAGATCCAGACTTGGGTTTGCCAGGAGCAACTCTATAGACTTCAGCAAAGTTTTACTCAATTACATTGTGTAAATGATGGGACACTAAAAGTAGCCGAGCAAATCTGATTTTCAAAATAATCACAACAGTGTTTTCCAAAAAAAAAGGGAAAAAAACAAGCTATACTGCAAGCAACGCTCCAGCAATCCTGCAGTACCACACTAGACTGATTTTAGCCTTGAAAAGTGAAATGGGTATAAAGAAACACTTCCATTTTCTGGGTTTTGTTTTTTCTCCAAGAGAAGAAAGTTGCTATTGTTGTGAGTTTGTTTTGAAACTGATAGAAAATGCTGAGTGAAATAATTAAAGATTGAATTGCTGGAAATATCGGCAAGATCAGTTCTTGAAGAAAGCATTCTTTGTGCTTATTCCCATCCAGAGACCATGCCACTCTTGGTGAAGGAGCACAGAACTTCTGCAATAGAAAAACTTAGCAGTTGTGTCCCCCCTGCTTCTCACTCTTCCTAGAGCACCCATAGAAAAAGCCTCATGGAGACACTGTGCCTCTTCACTTTCTTTGCTTGTCTCATTATGCACAAGCTGGCTCTGTAATTATACCTCTCCTGACCATAGATGCTTTGTTCGGTATATCCAAAACACCAGAGGGCAGCAAAAGAGTTAAAGCAGAAATTGCAAAGTATAAACTTTCCCAGCATTAGCAACTGTATGGTGGTAAAATGGGATCACATAAGGTGGCTGTAAAGACTTGACAGTATCAATTCATAGTAAAAGTGGTAGAAAAATGATATAATTATGGCAATAGGAAAACTGGGCAATAGCTACTTCAGTGTTGGAAACTGTTGTGACCCATATGTATGGAAATGGAAGAGAAATACCAAAAGGTCACTGAGAGTGATAGATGCAAGAGGAGGTCTTTAACTTAACTCTCAATAAATAATACAGTAATATTTTAAGTCTTAACAATCATGTGCTTCTTCCTCCACTGCAAAAGCTATAGGAACCCTACCCGCTGGGGCACAGAGATTGCAGGTCTGTACAAGCACCCTCCGCCGACGGCCACACTTGCCAATTTGTCTTGCCTTTTCCATCTTATGCAGGTAATTAAATTCAGGATGGTGGATTCTCCTCAACGTAGCCCCCCAGTGAGGTCTTATGCTCTCCAGGCAGTTCCACGGCACAGGTATCAGACTCTCCTTAGATGGAAAAATCATGAGATTTAAGACAGAGCACCAAATCCAGCCCACTGCTTCCCATTTGCTAAGAAAGAAATCATGATTCCTTTAAAAAGAAATATTACCTTTCTGGCTGGGGCTTTCTGTCTCGAGCATTCTTTTTAAGATCAGCTCTATTTGCCATCCTAAAACACTTAATCAATTTCGAATGAAAACAGCAACTATAATTAAGGGGAGGAAAATCCCACTACAGCAAAGGAACCATTATTAAGGTAATCTTTTTCTCTGTAACTCCTGGGGCACTGTTCACATGCAGTTGCTACTGTATATGCTGTTTGTGCGTCACCTCCTCTTCATCAGCTCCGTGGAGAACAGACTGTTAGCTTAATAATAACAAATAAATACTCAAAGCACTGTGTAAGCACTAATTGAATGTTACAGTTACAATAGCCTGGGTTTGCCATATAATATTACCCCCCATGTGGAAGATGGCTTAGCAGTTCTATGACCTAGGTCATACCAGTGCCTTCATGTAAGAGACTCCCTGTGCCACAAGCTCTCCAACTTCTTTCCCATTTGCACTTCAAGGCCGGCAGATTTCCAGCCTGCCCACTCACCATAACGAGCTTAGGGACAGCGTGCCATACCTGCATGAATTGCATGCACTTGTCAAGGTAAATAGTGCTTGGGGTTTAATTTCAGTCCTGATGCTTTAGGTGGTATTTCCCCACCTACTGCTTCTAGGAGAAAGAGCCTGCAACGTTAACCGACCTCCCGAAGTTACTGAGGGTAACAAAAGCAATATAATTCATTAGTTGAGAGAAGCAGAGAAAGTCTTGTTTGCCTCCCTGGGACATCTTGATCGATCTCTCTCAAATGTGTTGATGACACAGAGCTCACATATCATGTAACTTGATTTATATAGACCACCACATTTTCTCATCACAGATGTGTCTTTGTAGAGTAAATTTACTCTGACTGACAATCAGCTTGCTTTCCTTGTGTGGGGAGTCCCTCTTGAGCCCTTTAGAGAAGTCTTTCATGGACCCTAAGGCGCGCACCAACCACCAGTTAAAACAATTGTCTCAATTGCTTGAGACCTTCAGCATGAAGCACAGAGCTACAGGTCTTCCACCCAAGGCATCATCTTATTTCAAGGAGCCTGGTATCCGACTGGATATCCAATTTGTCTGTGGTAGCACGGTCGCTCCGGATGGAAGGCGAGGGTTGGACTTGCCAGGTTGGGTGTTCAGCCTTCTGAAACGGTTGGGAGCCCAGCCGCTGACTGGGTAATTACTTGCCTGAAAAACGTCTGAGATGACTCTAATAGAGAAGATTAAGTTGAATAACAGATGTGCCAGGCTGGCTGACTGGATTCAAGACTCATTTTCAAGGCCAACCTGGAATTTCAGACCAAACGTACCAACATCCCGCCCACTTACGCGGTGCCAAGCCTGAGCCCCTAAATGCTCGATCCCAGTGCGTCTCCCACTCTGCACTCGACAGCGGGCCTCGAGAGGAACCTCCGGGGCCCC